CCAAGGTTACCTGCCTGTAAAGACCCAATATTATATCCCGTGTTTGATCATTTAAGGCTTGGAACATAGTAAGCATGGATTTATGGTCCATTAACATTTAGATATCACCAACTGATTATCTTTTATTTTCTTGCTAGCTGCATATACAACTGTGAACGCTAAAGGCACTGTAGATTGCCATTGAGTCAGTCCTTAAAACTAATATTCCAGAGATTGCACTAAAGGAAAGAAAATATTAAAATATGTTTATACTATACTCATAGAAGCTTACACATGGAAACAGAAATACATGCAACACATATAAATCTTTTTGTTTACATATGGAGCTTTTCTTCCAGCCATGATAAGGTGCCCTAGAAACATTCACTAATCTTTGTAACACCCCAGAGGGTAAGTAGCAAGAATTATTATCTTCATATTGCAGGTGAAATACCTAGGTAGGGGCAGATTAAATGACTTGGCCAGGTCACTCTCTAAGTCAGTTATGAAGCTAGAAATAAAACTCCAGACTCTTGACTTTTAGTTCCTACACAAGTACCAGACCCATCAGTATTTGTACTTCTTCTCCTCACTTGAAAAGTAACCATTGATATAAATCCTGTCCCTGTTAAGGAAATCTTGCTGTGTGGCACTAGCACACATGATACTGAGTCCCCGATGGGCAGTTAAGAGGGTACTCTGCTGTTGCAATGAACAAGCTCAGGTAGCAAAAGGATATTGTTAAGGCAATTTCTTGCAGACCAGGCCTTATGAAGAACATTATCAGAAGTTTCCATAACTTCAGAGAAAGTATTTTCATCTGCTTTCTTACATTAGTTTCTCTTGAATAATTTCAGATTGCCCCTAGTGTTGGAATCAATCTTCTGAAAGGCTTGGTCCCTGTCCTCAGGAAGTGTATGTCCTACACAAATTAAGACCTGCTTAATCATAAACAAAGTAAGCACTGACATTAGTCTAACCCTCCTGCACGTATTCTCTTCCTGTCTCTTTGATCTTATTTTTTAATTTCTGGCTAATTTGATTAGTCTTGAACACCAGCGAGTGGCCAGAACCCTCAGCATTTCTCTTCCACAATGGCAGGCCGTAAACTGAGACTGTCAGACCCTCATTTGTGTGCTTGTCTGTCCATCAGCAGGGGCTGGGATCAAATCACGTCCAGTCTCTGCTTCCTCCTCCCCAGGTTGGCCCACATGAGGGGCTGATGGCTCACGTCACAAAGGTACTCTGTGTTCTGGTGCCTTTTTTTTATGGAATAACTCCTTCTAGTATGACTTCACTTTTCTGTTAGTGAGCACTTTCCCCCATAAATATGCCTGAACAGGTGTTAACTCTGCTGCTAACTGAGTTTCCAGCTGTCCTCCTCCAACACAGACCCAGCAAAATCTGTTGTTTCGTCCTTTTAGGCAGACTAGAGAAGCGCCGAGCCTGAGATGGAGGTCTTCCTTGCAGGATATGGCCGTTCTGCTGCCAGAAGATGGTCCGGAAAGCCTGGCTGGCTAACAAAGACAGGCCTTCAGCGGCTGGGTGTAGTTCCAGTTCTGCATCCCCTTTGGCAGAAACACAGAGGCTGCTGCAGTGTGGCCAGCCAGCGAAATTAGGAAATAAGGACCTCTTTTATTTACTCAGGCTGCTGAATCATGGGCATTCCTGTCTGCTTGGAGAAAAGTCAGGCGGCTCTACTTTCCTCTGAAAGTCTCAGGAGTGTTGGAGACTTTCATCTCGGAGTGTTCACACACTTGTTTTAATGTGCTTTATGGAAATGGTGAAACTCAGCAAGTACAGTTGCTGTAGAAAAACATCTGCACTAACCATGCACACACATTTGCATCTTTAAATAGACTTTTTAGGCCACGGAGCTGGTTTCCAGCAAAGCTTTTTCGGCAGTAAGAGCTACAGCTCTCAGAGAGTCAGCTCAAGTGAAGTGACTGGTTTCAAAAATTAGAATGTAACATGGACATGTTAAGTAGTTCACATTGAAATGCAGAAAACTTGCTATCACACAGAAAGACAGTCCCTGCAAGTAGCACTTCGTGCCGAGGGGAAAAAAAGTTAAAGTTGATTCAGGAACCTGAGTTGAAAGAATCCTCTACAGTTTCTTCCACGTGTAAAAAGAAATTGACATCGTTTAAACCTATATTCACCATTTAAGCATAGTTTGCGCTGTGGCTGCCAAAAAGCCTAAGTTAATGGGGATGGATAACTCTCTAAGACTTAGGTAGACCTCAGAGTATGTTGGCAGGGAGACCATCACCACAAAAGTCTTGGAGGAGTCTGATACCTGAAGAGCGTGGACCAACCCGCTGGGAGTAGTGAGTCCCTGTGTGTTCTTGGGAGAATACGATCCATTTACAGTGCTGGCAAATGAGAGTTTTACATTTTATATTTTAAAACAGAAATCAGCCTTTCAGGGAAACTTTATTTTTCTAAAAATATCATTGCTTGCTCAAACTCTTTTCTTCCGCTCGATCCCCAAGCCTTATGGCTTCTACAGAGGGTTTTGTGTAATTTCCTTTACAAAGACATGTAATGGGGACTGGAGAGAAGAAGGAAAAGGTTTCTAGCTCTCTTGAATCCTGCTTAAAACCTTGATCCTAACCTTCAGTTCACTTGACATGTCATTGAAATTTACAAGCTTAGGAGAACAGTTATATAATAGATATAGTCAGGCATGGACCACAGACAAGAAGCTGATTTAAGCATGGTGTTAGGGATTGCATAATTTGTATAATGGTCCATTGCTCTGTAATTCCTTATGTATTTGTATAAAAATATATCATATCTGGACACAATCTGCAATTTAATAATAAATTCACTTGCTCAATTTTCAGGCTCAATAGTTACATCATTTTAGGCTAGATGCATTACAAATTCTGATTCAGTGTTTCCCCAAATCTATAAATGAGAAGATGTATTTGAAAATATTTTAAAAAACGAAATAGCAGGATTTAAGCCTAAAAGATAAATGTGAAATGTGGTAGATTTTACCTAGAATGTTGAGCACATTTAATAGATAGCCTTTTTTTTTTTTTTTTCCAGTTAGGGTAAATATTTGAAACCTTGATTTGTTTCAGGTATATTAGCATTAGGTGACAACACTTTTCTAAGGGGAAAACTAGATCATTATTGAGTTTTTTTGCTTTTAGTTAAAAAAAATTTTTTTGTATGTTGAGTGGTGAGTTGAGTTTATCTGCATATATTCCTGGTGTATTCACTTTAAGTAGAAATCACATCCACATCCATCAGACCCTTTCTTATGCTGGAAACATGTTGGGTTATAGAGTCACATAAATGAGGATGCAAAATCGTGCGGTTTTCAACGTGTATGGCGACGCTTTGTTGCAGTGGGCAGGGATCCAGGAATGGTGTTTGGTTGTTTTCTCAGAGTGAGAGGGTTGCCATCTGGCATTGATAGTGAGATGGTGTTGTCATCAGTTTCTAGATGCAGGAAAGGAATGATCCTCATCTGTTTCCTGTGGATAAGGAAGAGGCTGACAATCTAGTAAAATCTTGTTACCTTAAAGAAAGCAGACATGGAATTCGTTTACATAATGCTTACCAGTTTCTACTTTTATGTTCATCATTTAGCTTGCTAGTGAACTTCAGCTTTGAAGAATTTAAAAACGTATTTGATCATACTCTAACTGAATACCATTAGAATATTCTAATAATGCTCTAATTGAGCCTCTTGTTCTAACTGAAACACTGTCCCCACCAGCTCCACTCCATGGTCTTTACTTGTATGTTTTTTTGAAAAATTGTGCTCCTTTGGAGAGTGAAAAGCTTTTAAAATTTCTTCTGATCGTGAATTATAGGTTGTGAAAAGCAAAAAAGAGGTTTCACAACCTGTTTTGAGATGGTCTTATTTTCCACTTGGATATCAAGAAGGCAACAGAAATAACAGTGCACGTCTGCTAAGAAAATAGTTTTAAAAATCACCTAATAGAAGGTAACGTTCCTTTATGGATAACTTGCTAACTTTATATCTGGCTCTCAGTCTTGTTTGTCTTCTTTTTGTCACTCATAAATCTTTCAGCATTTACCATAATCATTTATCACTTTTCCTGTTTCCAGTTTTTCACAAGTTGCTTTGTCTCTGCTCACCTCAAAGTGCAGGTCCTGTTTAGCTAAGGAAGTTCAGGCTGCTGAAGCTTTTGCAAAAGGAAGATATGGTGGGCCACCTCTTGAACTTTCCAAACAAAATACACTATTAAAATCTGGCCCTTGTGAAACTCTCATTTTTTCTTGATCCTAGCTGATCCTAGCTACATGTAATATCTAGCAGTACCCTTCTAACATTTAATAATCCATTTTCTGGCCTGTGGTATTCGAATTTCAGTGATTGAAGAAATCCTGGTTGTCTTTCATTACACAAGACATAATTATTATTGTGTTTTCTGTCTTCTTTCCTGTGCTTACTTTTTAATATTTTTTTGCTGAAAGCAATAAGGTCTGTATCAATAAGAACCCCATAAAAGATTTGGGTCTTCAGAATTGCCTTTTTATATAAAAACAAGCAAAATGCAGAGGGAATTTTTTATTAAATATTAGACATCTGGGTTGACTGCATTAATTTTAAATCATTCCTATAATATTTCCTCTTTTCATTTGGTTCTTCAGATGCTCACATAATATGCAAATCATTTTAGAATGAATACAAAAGAAACATTAAATATATTAAAATCTGCATTTTAATAAAATTGTCAATGTGTAATATATACCTTGCTTCTAAGGAAGAATGATAAAAAGTAATAAAAGGGTAATTTAGACATAGAACTATTTAATATCCTCTTATATTTTACAACTCAACAAAAAGTAAATGCAGTATAACTGCTTTGGGCTCAGATTTGAAAATGTCTCGCTCAAATATTCTCTCTTTCATTTCTTTTTTTTCTTGAAAGGTTCAAGAGGGTCCAACTCTGTGTGCTGGTTGAAATGGTACGGTAAACTCACTCTTGAATCTCAACATGTCAGATGAAATGTGTCATTGCTTCTTGTTGCAGATGGAGTGGATGTTGAAGATGATCCGACTTGCTCTTGGCCAGCTTCCTCACCTTCCAGCAAGGATCAGACTTCCCCTAGCCATGGAGAAGGTTGCGATTTTGGAGAGGAAGAAGGTGGCCCTGGGCTTCCATACCCATGTCAATTCTGTGACAAGTCGTTTAGCCGCCTCAGCTACCTAAAGCACCATGAGCAGAGTCACAGCGACAAACTGCCTTTCAAATGCACCTACTGCAGTAGGCTGTTCAAACACAAGCGCAGCCGAGATCGCCACATAAAACTCCACACCGGGGACAAGAAGTACCACTGCAGTGAATGTGATGCTGCGTTTTCCAGAAGTGATCACTTGAAGATCCACTTAAAGACTCACACTTCCAACAAGCCATATAAATGTGCCATTTGTCGCCGTGGGTTTCTGTCCTCTAGTTCCTTACACGGACACATGCAGGTTCACGAGAGGAACAAGGACGGCTCCCAGTCTGGTTCCAGGATGGAGGACTGGAAGATGAAGGACACTCAGAAGTGCAGTCAGTGTGAGGAAGGCTTTGACTTCCCAGAAGACCTCCAAAAACACATTGCAGAGTGCCACCCCGAATGCTCCCCAAACGAGGACCGAGCGGCCCTCCAGTGCGTCTACTGCCACGAGCTCTTCGTAGAGGAGACCTCCCTCATGAACCACATGGAGCAGGTGCATGGCGGGGAGAAGAAGAACTCATGCAGCATTTGTTCTGAGAGTTTCCACACAGTTGAGGAACTGTACAGCCACATGGACAGTCACCAGCAACCGGAGTCGTGCAATCACAGCAACAGCCCTTCCCTGGTCACGGTGGGCTACACCTCCGTGTCCAGTACGACTCCAGATTCCAACCTCTCAGTGGACAGCTCAACCATGGTGGAAGCTGCCCCGCCAATCCCAAAGAGTCGAGGGAGGAAGAGGGCCGCTCAGCAAACCCCTGACATGACTGGTCCCTCGAGTAAACAAGCAAAAGTTACCTACAGCTGTATTTACTGCAACAAGCAATTATTTTCAAGTCTTGCAGTTCTGCAGATTCACCTGAAAACTATGCACTTAGATAAGCCAGAACAGGCCCATATTTGTCAGTATTGCTTGGAGGTCCTGCCCTCACTCTATAACCTAAATGAACATCTTAAGCAAGTGCATGAAGCTCAGGACCCAGGTCTGATTGTTTCTGCCATGCCTGCCATTGTCTACCAGTGTAACTTCTGTTCCGAAGTTGTCAACGACCTCAACACTCTTCAGGAACACATCCGATGTTCTCATGGATTTGCAAACCCCGCAGCTAAAGATAGTAATGCGTTCTTTTGTCCCCATTGCTATATGGGTTTTCTCACTGACTCTTCCCTCGAAGAGCATATTAGACAGGTTCATTGTGACCTCAGTGGCTCCCGATTTGGGTCTCCAGTGCTTGGCACTCCCAAAGAACCAGTAGTAGAAGTCTATTCTTGTTCCTATTGTACTAATTCACCAATATTCAACAGCGTTCTTAAGCTGAACAAACATATCAAAGAGAATCATAAAAACATTCCCTTGGCCCTGAATTATATCCACAATGGGAAGAAATCCAGGGCCTTAAGCCCCCTATCTCCTGTGGCCATAGAGCAGACATCTCTTAAGATGATGCAGGCAGTAGGAGGTGCACCTGCACGTCCAGCTGGAGAATATATCTGTAATCAGTGTGGTGCTAAGTACACATCCCTAGACAGCTTTCAGACTCACCTAAAAACTCATCTCGACACTGTGCTTCCAAAATTGACCTGTCCTCAGTGCAACAAGGAATTTCCCAACCAAGAATCCTTGCTGAAGCATGTTACCATTCACTTTATGATCACCTCAACGTATTACATCTGTGAAAGTTGTGACAAGCAATTCACATCAGTGGATGACCTTCAGAAACACCTGCTGGACATGCACACCTTTGTCTTCTTTCGCTGCACCCTCTGTCAGGAAGTTTTTGACTCAAAAGTCTCCATTCAGCTCCACTTGGCTGTGAAGCACAGTAACGAAAAGAAAGTCTATAGGTGCACATCTTGCAACTGGGACTTCCGCAATGAGACTGACTTGCAGCTCCATGTGAAACACAACCACCTGGAAAACCAAGGGAAAGTGCATAAGTGCATTTTCTGCGGTGAGTCCTTTGGCACCGAGGTGGAGCTGCAATGCCACATCACCACTCACAGTAAGAAGTACAACTGCAAGTTCTGTAGCAAAGCCTTCCATGCGATCATTTTGTTAGAAAAACACTTGCGAGAAAAACATTGTGTGTTCGAAACCAAGACACCCAACTGTGGAACAAATGGAGCTTCTGAGCAAGTGCAGAAAGAGGAAGTGGAGCTGCAGACTTTGCTGACCAACAGCCAGGAGTCCCACAACAGTCACGATGGGAGCGAAGAAGACGTCGACACCTCTGAGCCTATGTACGGCTGCGACATTTGTGGGGCAGCCTACACTATGGAAACTTTGCTGCAGAATCACCAGCTCCGAGACCACAACATCAGACCTGGAGAAAGTGCCATCGTGAAAAAGAAAGCTGAGCTCATTAAAGGGAATTACAAGTGCAACGTGTGCTCTCGAACCTTCTTCTCCGAAAATGGCCTCCGTGAACATATGCAGACCCACCTAGGCCCTGTCAAACACTACATGTGCCCTATTTGCGGAGAGCGGTTTCCCTCCCTTTTAACTCTTACTGAACACAAAGTCACGCATAGTAAGAGTCTTGATACTGGAAACTGCCGGATTTGCAAGATGCCTCTCCAGAGTGAAGAGGAGTTTTTAGAGCATTGCCAAATGCACCCTGACTTGAGGAATTCCCTGACGGGCTTTCGCTGCGTGGTGTGCATGCAGACAGTGACCTCCACTTTGGAACTCAAAATCCATGGGACATTCCACATGCAAAAGACAGGGAATGGGTCTGCAGTTCAGACCACAGGGCGTGGCCAGCACGTCCAAAAACTGTACAAGTGCGCATCTTGCCTCAAAGAATTCCGTTCCAAGCAAGATCTGGTGAAACTTGACATCAACGGCCTGCCATATGGTCTGTGTGCTGGCTGCGTGAATCTCAGTAAGAGCGCCAGCCCAGGCATTAACGTCCCTCCCGGCGCGAACAGACCAGGCTTGGGCCAGAATGAGAATCTGAGTGCCATCGAGGGAAAAGGCAAGGTGGGAGGACTGAAGACGCGCTGCTCTAGCTGCAACGTTAAGTTTGAGTCTGAAAGTGAACTCCAGAACCACATCCAAACCGTCCACCGAGAGCTTGTGCCAGACAGCAACAGCACACAGTTGAAAACGCCCCAAGTATCACCAATGCCCAGAATCAGTCCCTCCCAGTCGGATGAGGTAACTCGCCTTTTTTAATGTTTGCTATTTAACCTCCTCAAGAAATGGTCCCTACTTTATGTTTACACTCTCCACAGCTTTATTTATTGTCATGGGCCAAAAGATGCTTAGATTGAAATGCAATGGTTTTTTTTCCCCCATAGCCATTAGCTAGCAATTACTTGCTTCTTGATAAGCAGCATTTTGGCTTGAATGGTGCAAAATAGGACTAATTCCAGTCTCCCTAGGATATTGTCTTCTCTATGACTGAAGAGACCAGCGCTCATGCCAACACTACTGAGATCTGGAATCTCAGCATAGCTTCACCGTGAGTTGAAATCCCCAGCTATGACTTGTGTGTATGGCAGAGAGATAACGACACAAAAGTAAGATGCTATGAGCCAACATGCTGGCTTAGAGTAAATTAAAAAGAATATATATATTTGGGTATAACAAATTGGGTCGAGGTGGCTTTTTAATACCATGTTGTCAACACTCACTGTTTTTCTTTGTCTTCTGGACAGTGAGGAAAATACTTCCTCACAACAGGATTTTTAAAAAGCCCCTACCCTACATTTATTAAGCACCACATGCCCATTATTCTGTTTAAAGACGCTGTGCCTGAGTTTGAGATCTACCCTCTGGGTGTCAAAATTAATATTTGTGGGGTTTTTTTCTCCTTAGTTTCAGAGTAGTTTTCTGCTTTCTTTGCCACGATGACAAGAAACAAGTTCATTTACAATGAAATCATTTCATAAGTCATCATTTCTTAGAAGCTGAGCAGAGGATGGCTCATTGTAATATTTCTTTATGCTTTATCACCTGGTTTCTAATAGCTCTTTCCACTTCCCTACCTGCCCCTATCTGGAGATCCATCCAAATGAAAACCCCAGGGAGATCCTTCTCCCTTCAGTTTGGGGTTAGTGCATTTTTCCCTTATCTTGTCTCTGCACTCACACCCTGGTGGAGGCCCCCCTGTGGCTCCCTGCAGATAGCCATCAGTCAGCTGGCAGGGGAGAGCTGAGAAGACTGAGACAGAGCCTGGCCTCACAAAATGTGGCATCTGTGTGGCAGGCAAACTCCCAAACTTTGAAGCCACTTTCCCCCTTCTCCCCTGCCCAAGTAAGTCTGCACTTTTCGCTCATTTAAATACATGAAATCCTTTCAAACTGCTGAGGACACCTGGAAGAACGTAGCTTTGGTTATGGCTCATAGCTCATGGGTTGGATCAAATTGTTTCTTTTGAAACAAATATTAGTAAGTTAAAAGCATATGAAATGAGGGTTTTCCAAGTTTTTACTTTGAAATTTTTTAAACTATAGAAAAGTTAAAGGACCAACACAGCGAACACGTATGTGTGCCTGTGTTTGGGTATCCCAGATCCTCCAGATAAGAATGTTTTGTTGCGTTTTCTCTCTCTCTGCACCCCTTTTTAAAATCAACTTGAGCCACATGAAAGAAGGTTGCAGGTATCATGCCATCTCCTAAGAATAAGTGTATTTTTTTTGTTCAATTATGACATCATTAGCTAAAGCAATTCACTAAATTAAAAAAGGAAATTAAGTAATCCCGTAATACCGTCTGTAAGAGGTTCACATTTAAATTTTCTCCGTTGTCCCCAAAATGTCTCATGTTTTTAAATGTTTGTGAATGAGAATTCTTAAAACATTAAGGCAGAAAATTACTCTTCTCCTTTGTTTTTATTTTGTAATGCTTAACATATGCCTGCAAGAGATTGATATTCATGTTTAATTTACAAAGCGTATAAAGGTGATTTTAAATGACTGCATTAGTCTGTGTGTCTGTGTGTGTTTGTGGTGTTGGCTTGTGCATTTTAAATGCAGCATAGCTGGACTCTCTGGTTTCTTAGTAGATTGTTTATGAAAGGGCATATGCCTGTGTCTTCTTATCTGTTCATGGTTTGTTTTTTCTGATATTTATAAATTGGTATATATTGTAATAGCGTCTAAGAGGAAATATTTCAGAAACAAATGAGGACATAAAAATAGTATTTACACATTAAGTTGGTTAGAGTTACTTGATGAGAATTTATCATTAAGGCTTGAATGACACCTAAAATCTTAGTGATATTTAGAAAGCCTATCTTTATCCTACACTTACATAAGATAATACTTCAAATATTTTAAAAAATACTTTAAGTTTTACAATTGCATTTTTAAAGCACCTAATGACTAAGGGTCAAAAATGACTATGCAGTCGAGTACCTCCTTATGAAACCTGATTAATAAGAGCTTAGAGTGATATGCTTAATTGACGAGATATTAGGATTTAGTTTCAAATATTTCTTTGTGCCTTAGAAGTTCACTATTTGTTCAACATTTTAATCATCATTACTATCGCCATTTTTAAACTCATACTATTTGTTATAAAATTTTATGTGATACCTTCTACAATTAAAAATGTACCATATTATTTAGACTAATATAGAAAATTATCTAAATGTACAAAAAGTTCTACAAAAAGAAGCCTAAAAATAATGTGTCAGCAAGAAAAATACAAAATAAATACTCATTTGTTCACACTCTTTATTAGCCAAGTTAAATTACTGTAAGTTCTCATTTTGAGGAGTTTGTGCATTTTTTCCAGATTAGGTAAAATGAAATGTTATTATATAAATCTTTGTCAAAAGCCCGGTATATCATATAGGAATAAATTTTATCACAAAAAGAAATGTGACATATATGTCTATTGACTTAGATGCCCTGGGTAGGAATTGAAGGACTTAGCAACATAGGTGGTATTTTCATCTCTTTTTCTTGCTGAGGCTTGAGACTCCAGAACTGAAAAGAAAATCACAGGAGATAATAAAACCTGGATACACAGGTGTGGTCAAGAACAAGATTAGATTTTTCTGGACCATGACTTAGAATCACATAGAATATTGGTAAACATTTATATACATCTTTCAAAGACTAAAAAGAATATTATTTGATTGAGACTAGGATACATAATTAAAAGGGATTTAAACTTAAATATAAATCTGGGAAGGATAAGTACTATATAAAACCCTGCAATCCAAAAAATGGATGAAAGACAAGGCATGCAACACTATAAGAAGGATAATAGTTGGTAGCCATTATGTATTGGAGAGATTTGAAATTGAAGACAGATCTGAGTTTGAATCCCGTTTCTTTTACCTAATGCTTTCTGAATTTGTGAAAAATGTTTTCTTTTTATTATTATTATTATTATTATAATACTTTAAGTTCTAGGGTACATGTGCATAACGTGCAGGTTTGTCACATATGTATACTTGTGCCATGTTGCTGTGCTGCACCCATCAACTCGTCAGCACCCATCAACTCGTCCTTTACATCAAGTCTAACTCCCAATGCCATCCCTCCCCTCTTCCCCCTCTCCATAATAGGCCCCGGTGTGTGATGTTCTCCTTCCCAAGTCCAAATGATCTCATTGCTCAGTTCCCACCTATGAGTGAGAACATGCGGTGTTTGGTTTTCTGTTCTTGAGATAGTTTGAAAAATGTTTTCTTTGTGCCACAATCCTCAGATTATTAATCTAAATTTGCAATGAAGATTTTGTTTTGAATAAAATATTTTGAGAACCTATTCATTTTTCTTTGCTCCTCAAAGGTTGAGTGTGATACAAATTTACACGTAACCTACAATAAATGATTCCAGAGATGGTAAGATTAATTGGGGACCAGAAGAGCACTGGCCCTCTAGCTTTTTCCACACATGAAGCACCTTGCAGAATTATTGACATTTACTATATGTTGAATAAATGTTGATTCTTCTGGAGTTCGTGGGCATTGTCTACTCAGGGGATGCGCCATCTGGACCTCAGAATGTTGTCTCATAGTACGGTAGATTTTGGAAACACATGTTCTTCTGCCTCCTTTTTCTAGTGTGCTTCATAGTCAAGTTTCTCTGAGCAACTATTTACTCACATTTCAATTCACACTGTCCCCAGCAGTCCTTTGAAATTGCTCTTGCCAGCATTACCATTATCCTCATGATCTCCATGTTGCGAGATGTGCATAGGGTGCCACAGAATCAAAACAGAAGGAACAGTGTAGACCATCTGACTCAGCCACTTTATTTTACAGACAAGGAAACAGGGCCCGGTAAATAGAGTATTGTCTAAGATTGCACAGCCAGTGAGTGGTAGGCAAGGGGTAAGAGTCCAGGTCCTAACTCTAGTTCAGGGTTGTCTTTCCACAATCGCATGGCACTTTCCTCTAGCTGCAGTTGAATCCCCGTCTTTTCTATAGCATCCTCTTGGTACTCCTGTCTTCTTTCTCTTCTCCTTCAGTTACCTCACCCATTGCACAGGATCTTCTGCATATTTGTCACTTTATTGCAACTGACCCCAAGGGCTCTTCTGGCCTGATTGACCAATGCAATGTACTTAGAGGAAAAAAAAGATAGTGTATGTTAGTTATTATTGTCTCTAAGCACTTGTCACTGTTGGCCAGTCCACTTTTATGGGACCTCTGTCTTCCTTCCTGACTTTCTGGTTGCCTCTGTGAACACCCTGTGGCCTCTCCTTCTTTTGCCAGCCCCTTCCTGTAGGTTTGTTTCCCTTCATTGCTCTCACTCTGCATATCCCCTCCATGGGGATTCACTCCCAGAGCTTGAACAACCGCCTTTTACTGACTGCTCTCCAAGTAGTATCTCCAAGGGACAGGAGGGGACTTTTGGAGGCTAATGGGAACACTCTTTATCTTGATGCCTGTAGTGGTTACGTGACTGCATGCATTTATCAGTACTCACCAGATTTAAAATTGGTTTATTATTTTTTTTTTTCTTTTTTTTTTTGTTTTGAGACGGAGTCTCGCTCTGTCGCCCAGGCTGGAGTGCAGTGGCTGGATCTCAGCTCACTGCAAGCTCCGCCTCCCGGGTTCACGCCATTCTCCTGCCTCAGCCTCCCGAGTAGCTGGGACCACAGATGCCCGCCACCTTGCCTGGCTAGTTTTTTGTATTTTTTAGTAGAGATGGGGTTTCACCGTGTTAGCCAGGATGGTCTCGATCTCCTGACCT